AATGGAATCGATGTAAGGGTAGGTAGTGTGGCCTCGTGCCAGCAGGAAACTAAAGTTGATGCACAATCTACTAGTTCATGGAAAAGCTATCCCAAACCTTTTGAAAAAGGCATGCTATCCACCACTGTGTCTGGGAAACAAGATGGTGAGTTTGTCCAACCTATGGTATACTGTTGGCCGGAATTAGAAAGGATTGCAGCTTTTGACACAAGTTACCTCAATTCTAAAGCTGCTTTAGCGATCTTCTCTCCAAGTAGGTATTTAGGCAAGAAGGATGACATGATGCTGTTTATGTGGGTAGGAAGTTCTTTTGACCATGATTTATCTCAGGTTCGAGTAAAGAGGGATAACGACTTGGTTGATTTAGAGAAGATAGACTGGGTTAAAGTTGGTCAATATGTACTTACTGAAGTAGGTCTGCAAGAAAATGCAGAAATTAAGGTACTTCAGACCTTTTTTTAAAAAAAAAAATTTGATGCTTGGATTACTGATTCTTTTATTGCCCTAATTCTTCAAATGCCAAAATTTTCTGGGTGTGTTGCTTTGTGACAAACAATGGATTGCTCTTATTTAGCTTAATTTTCTTCAACATGTTATAGATTTATAGCTTTGTTCTTTATGACTCATTTCTTCAGATGATGTATGTTTTGATCTTCCCTATGAACTTCTTGTGAAAACAGATCGTTAAAGAAGGTGAAGAAACAGAGGAATTTCTTGCACGATTGAGTCTGTTGTAGCCCTGCTGCTGAGACATTTCCTTCATTTGGTATAACAAAAATTATTCGATTGTTGAACTGGCTTAGCGAGTCATGCAACTTAGTCATCAAGATGAACTCCCCTTACAGAAATTAGTGAGGTAAGCTTTCCGGGCATTGTATCACTGTTCTCATATTTTCTTCTTTTACTGCTTTCTACATTTTTTTTAATGGCTTTCTGTTGGGTCGAGCCATGTGCTTCGATGGTTAATTTTTGCAGAGTTGGGTACGATGGTTAATTTTTCCCCAGCTTTTGATTAGTGTTTTACTTTATATCATTCATTACCAGACACCCAATTTGCCTGTTCATATGTCCTGCTTTCATTGGATAGATAAAGTTGTGTTAAAAGCAGAGGTCTGATCGTTTCTTTTCCACATTGGTTGTTGTGTTTGCAGGAGACGCTTGAAAATCCAAGTCGTTTATAGCAAGTCTTAACAAGTTGTACAGAGCTTTAACCTCCCCCACCACCACGTAATTCAAATTTGATATTGTAAACAATTTCCTGGAAGGGCCCTTGCCTTTCCCTAACACATCTTCTATCCTTTTTCTTATTTTCACGTGATTAGATTATATCATCGGTAAAAATGTTAGAGGTTTAAATCCTTTCGCTCCACTGAAGAACGATCCACGGTTTATAGTTGTCTTTTATGTTTTGATATGAACTTTTTGTTATGAAATAGAAGAGGTTGAAGGTTTGTGGAGCAAGAGGTGGTGGGTTGGTAGGAAAATGTTGTGGCATCTTTGAAAACTTAGCAGACACTCATCATTCATTACAAATTCTTAGTCAAACCAGAAGAGTATGAAAAAGAGTGAAAGAGAAGAGGGGCCCCAGCCTGCAATAATTCTATCTAAAACTAATGACATTGCTATAAATGTTATAAATGGAAATTGTGGTCAGCTTTGCTATGCTGGCGCATTTATCATCATCTTCTTTGTCCTCTGCTTGGTGTAATGATGAGGATGTTTGATTGCACACAAAATGTATTTTTCTTAAGCCTTGATTGTTGTTAGTTCTGTGGTTTTATCTGTTGCTTTCGAGTTACTAACCAAATCAAGAAACTCGAGGTCAAAGAGTTAGATACCCCTCGCCTCTAGATGCTCAATTTGTGACTCCCCAAGCTATATAACACGACAAGTATTTAGATGTTGTATCATAGCATCAAGACATTATGAAAAATGCTCTTGTAAGTTGTTTCGTCACAAAAATATGCCCAACAAAATTTATTGTAGACGGCATCAAGATACTCAAGCGTTCATGTTCTCTAGTTTTATTCATGTTTTTATGAACTTAATGCTTATAAATTCTTGATTCATTCTTCGTGTAATGCTAAACTTGGGGCTTGTTAAAGTATTATGACACGATATGTAAAATATTTGATCGAGAGTTAAAATAATACTTTGGTTTTTATATTTATATTTTTTAATTCTTTAATATAATATTTTTATTTTAAATTTTGGGTTAATTTTTATAAATTTTGTAAAATATTAATGAAAATTTTCATTTATGAACTAATCTCAAATTAGAAATACGAAAATAATATTTGTATTACCATTTGAAAAGTTATTCTAAATGGGTTTCGAATTTCTTTTGACCGGTTGGTTGGTTCAAATACTTACATGGACCGGGTGATTTGATAATAGATTTTTGGGCTAAGCCCATATTATCAAAAAAATGAAAAGAGGTCCGGCCCAATTCTCCAATTTACCATTGAAGGCCATATCTAATACCTCCATTTTACAAACCCTAATTCGGCCGCAACCTTCCATCTCGCTATCCCTCTCTTTGTAGGTACGAATCTGCTTCCTGCGTGCCGTTCTTCCAAACTTCTTTTGTTTTTCTTCTCGTTTTGATTGTTTCTTGCTGCTAGCAGGTTGGTTGTTCTGGTCCAGGATCTTCAGCAATGGCACCTAAAGGTATGCATGCATTCTAATTTTTTGTTTTTGAGTACAAGATGTTTATTTATTCGAATTTATGCTTCCATTTGTTTCAATCGAACCTGAGTTCCGTAGAGGCGTTCCCAGTATTCAAAACCCAATTTCTGAAATCTACTTCTGCTCTTAACTGCAAGAATTAGTGTGATTCTTCGTTTATTATATGATTGGGGGATGGGATTCAAGCAGAGTAGTTGGTTGAATCGAATCCTCTCTGGATTTTTCTGTTTACTTGGGATTTAAGTAATCTTCCTTTGAATGTTTTAAATGGTACTTTTAAGCAACATTTTGAGCTTTTGTATTCAATATTCTAGTGGAATCTGATACTACTTAACTGCGCTTGGTTTTATTGAGCTTTTGATGCTCTATCTGTCCTTAATTAGGCCTTTTATTTTATTTTTTGCAGCTGACAGCAGCAAGAAGGCTGATCCTAAGGCGCAAGCCTTGAAGGCTGCCAAGGCAGTTAAGGCTGGTTCAACTTTCAAGCCGAAGGCTAAGAAGATCAGAACATCAGTTACATTCCATAGGCCAAAGACATTGAAGAAAGACAGGAATCCCAAATATCCAAGAATCAGTGCAACTCCAAGGAACAAGTTGGACCAATATCAAATTCTTAAATATCCACTGACCACCGAGTCAGCAATGAAGAAAATCGAGGATAATAACACCCTTGTTTTCATTGTTGACATTCGTGCAGACAAGAAAAAGATTAAGGATGCCGTGAAGAAGATGTATGATATTCAGACCAAGAAAGTTAACACTTTAATCAGGTAATTTGGTACCCTACATTGTAAGTTTCATCATCATTAGAAAGAAACTTGGTTTGATACAAAGTCTTTATTGATTGATACATTATGGTGATGAATGATTGATGTCCTAATGTATAATCCTGCATCCCTGATATGCAGACCCGATGGAACGAAGAAGGCGTACGTTAGGTTAACTCCGGATTACGATGCGTTGGATGTGGCAAACAAGATTGGTATCATCTAAGCTGCAGAGGTTGGAGCAAGTATTTTGATTTCAATTGTTACATGTTTAAATTTTGGAGAGCATTTTGTAGAAGGGACCCTAATTTTATTTCATCTTTTCATTACGAATATGTATTGGTATTTGTTAGCTCAGATAGACTGACTGGGTTTACACAATCCATAGAACATTCATTCCCATTCCAATCATTTTCATTATAGTGTGCTTCAGATTCCATTATAACCTTGGTTATCCAATTGTTTTGCCCTCCCTCCCATCTTCTTATCATGTTTTTGGTGATTGCTTTGTGCTGAATGAAAACGGTGCTATAGTGCACTTGGTAACATTATCATAATTTTATAAGCTAATTGAAGCAGATAGTGGGTCCTCTCCATAGTTGTAGGAGGTGATTCCTTAAGTTGATCTCCTCCTTGAGTCATTGTAGAAGGATTTTCAGTGTAAACAGAGTTAAAGTTTTAACTTGTTTAACTTTTAAATTTGTTATAAAATATTATTGTTACTTTTGAAAAGTTAACTTGTTTTGATTTGTAAAAATTAAAAATTATAAAAAATATTGAGATTTTTTCTTTAAAACTGTAATATTTAGACTTTAAAATTATATTTTTCATAATAATGGATATATAAGTGGTACTTTTACGACTTCTTTCATAGATTTAAATTTGCAAAATTTCTCATCGATGTCTCTTCAACAAATATGGCTATCTCTTATATTTCTTATTTATATAGATCAGCTCGTTGATTCCACCGCAGAATATTCAATTTTCTTAATAAAACTTCTCATCAAATAGCAATCGGAGAAGACATTCTTTTATTATCAAATTTTATCTATAGGTTAAAGTGTTGCCAAACAATTAATTCGTTTAGAATTCGGTTGACTACTATATAAGGTAAATCTTCTTTTCTTTGGCTCAGCGTTATAGCACCCAAGGTTACTACAGTGCTCTTTCTCTTTGTGTTGACCGTTTGCTTTCTTAGTAGCAAAAACTCTTTCTTAGTAGCAAAAACTCTTTCTCGATGATAAACCTTAAAGCAATGAGATCTGCGGTCAATAAGACACGAATTCTATAGATTTTAAAATTGGTAATTTCATGGCACAAAAGCACTAGTGGTCTAGTGGTAGAATAGTACCCTGCCACGGTACAGACCCGGGTTCGATTCCCGGCTGGTGCATGCTATGTCTTGCAATGAAGAAATACGCGCTGACTGTGATCCGGGTCGATCGCGACCATCAGATGTCTCTGATGAGATATAACAGCGCATCAGAGCTTGACTTTTATTTTTTTTATACCATAAAACCGTGTATAAGAAAGATTATCAGCTCACAAATGAACACGTCTCTTTATTTACTTGAGATTGGAGATTCAAATTTCTACGCAAAAACATACAAAACAATCTAAAACCTTACTCCCAAGTGTCCATATGAGAATGTTTAGGAAATGGTTTTCTGATATAGTCCATGTTTCCCTCACCTTTTGAATTCAGCTGAAAGCAAGCGACTTGCAAGAAATTTCCATCTAACTCACCCACCTTCACTTGCTCTTCTAATGCAACAAATCCTTTCAAGATCACAACTTTAAGCTGCCCGACTCGACCGTCCCCGTCTGTGTTCTTCGAAAACGATTTCGAGCTCAAAACACAGTAACTTTTGGGGTCGAACTGCACATAATTAGTACAACATACACAAAATTTACTCCATCATACATAGACTCATATTAAACTTTCTAAGAAACGTCGAACGAAATACCGTAACGAAGAGACGCTCTAACGCGGGACACAATTTGACAAAGCTCATCAGTGCATTGGCATTGAAGTTCTCTTTTGAATCATCAATCCACCACAACTCCTTGAGCTTATAAAATTTGAAGTTCCAAGAAAGAGAAGGAAAGATCAAAGCCTGCAACAACAACTACTTCTATGATCAAAACCCAACAAAACAACACTATTTGAAAGGCAAAATGTTTAAGAAAATACCTCAAAAATCCATTTACAAAGAGTGAGTGTTCTAACATTCTTTACTGCCAACAAAAATGGATCAAACTCATTACTCTTATACATATATCCAGGACCTTGTCTGCAGTCAAGCATAACATCTTCCATGTTAAAATGACAATCAAGCCGAACGTGAGGAAACCGTCCTCGATATCGAAACGACCGGAGTTTCGAGCATCCAATGTGAAGAAACTCCAACTCCAGACAATCTAAAATGGTCAAGCTTTGCAAATTTGAACCAGAAGTGACTGAAAATGATTGCAGCCCTTTACATTCAATGAGTTTCAACGTTTGAATCGAATGAATACTCGAAACGAACGTCGAAATCGCGTCGGTCGTAAGATGGGTTATTGATTTGAGACAGAGTGTTTTGACAGAGAAAGATGAATGAGAAGGGTGGTGATCATCATTGAGGGTTAAATTCCAGATGAACTGAGCTAGGAATTCTTGTTTTTCAGAAGAGAATTGTAAGTGAAGCTTTTCATTAGCTAAAACAGAGATGAACAGAGCTCTGCCATTGCTGAACTGATATTGAAACCTTCTGAGATGATTCAATGGCGGAAAGCCATTGAAATGAAGAAATTTTAAAGCTGAATTTGCAAGATCTTCAAGAGCTCCATTTTGAACTGAAATTTGTTTCCAGAGATTCCTCCATCTTGTCGAAAGGAATGTTGTTTGAAGAACTGATTCAATGGGCAAAAACGATGCGATTCTGTAAAGAATTTCATCAGGCAAATTGGTTATCAGATCCTTTTCCATGGCGTCCGAGGCTTTTCTGTGAAACATGGGATTGTAATTCTTTTCAACAGCTTCGCACAATCTTATCCCTCTGAAACGCTATCGCTTTTGGAGCCTTACAGCTTCGCACATGACTCACCTGAAAATATTAAAAATATTAAAAATATTTAATTTAAAAAATTAATTATTAATATAATATATATTATGGGCCAATGACAAAATTTTAAATTATTCTAAGAGATTTAGAAAATATTAATTTTTTTCCAAAAAAATGGTCTCTGTTCAACCTTTGACTTCTTCCATTGCTTTGATATTGACCATTTTTTCATATCACCGCTTGATATTATTAATGAAGGTTGACCGTGAGGCTCGTGAAATAAAAAATAAATCCACGTGAATTTGTAATTTAAAAGTTTGAACAAAATCCAATAAAATATAATAAAATCCTGAATTTCTTTGGGTATAATACAAGATAAATATATAATATTGAAAATTATTATGTATAAACAATAATCCTAGCCTCTTGTTCTAAAATAATATTGAACAATATTAATAAAAGTTAAAATAATGTTTATTTTATTTTTCTTTTTTAGTGGAAATATATAATTAAATTATGTTCTTTTTTTTAATTCTCTCTAATATTTATGTGGTTGATAATAAATTTAGACAATGATTTGATTGGCATAAATATGTAATCAAGTATATATATATATATATATTGTAGATTTTTAAAATATGTATATCAAAATTAGGTAACAAATATCAACATTTTACTTTTTATTAAAAATAAAAAATTGAATTAATAACCCAAATAATCTTTTATGGTTAATTAGCCGGCGATGGGCCTATGATATGTCTCCGCCTCGTACAAACCCCGCCGCTGCAAGTTAGGTTTTAGTGGGAAAAAAAGGAGCCCTCGAACTCGAATTTCGGCTGACCTCATTTTTGCCCGTTTCGCGAATTTGACATCTGCTTCCATTTATGATTTCTTGACTTTGAAGATGGTTTTGTCGAACAAAAAGTTGAAGCAGAAATTTAGAGAAAAGTTAGCCGAATCGTTGATTTCATCAATCGCCGGAAGAGTCTCTAACGGTGATGTTTCCGGTGAACCGGAGTCGGATTCTCGGCCACAGTCGCTCAAAGAGCTTTTAGGGGGCACTGGTCGTCATGGAACCAGATTGTCCAAGCGAGAGAAACGTAGAGAATCGTTTATTTCGACAGCTTCGGATGGGAAGAACGATGAGGAGAAGAAGGAAGGTGAGAATCAGAGATTGGGAGAGAGGAAGGGAGAGAAAAAGAGGAAGAGAAACGAAGAGGTGAAGGAGAAGAGTGCGGTTGATGGGTTGGAAGAGGATGATGAGAAGGCCAAGAAGTTGAAGAAGAATAAGATGAATAAGAAGAAGAAGAAGAAGCAGAAGAAGCAGAAGAAGCAGAAGAGTAACGAGAAGGCAAAAAATAGTGAGGAGGAAAAGGAGAAGCAGGGAGGTGAAGATGGGAATGAAGTGTTAGGGCAAGTTGAAGAAACTCATGATAATATAGGCAGGTATTGGTTCAGCTGTTAATCTCAGTGGCTAACATTTTGTTTTGAAATCTTAGATTAAATGACATTGATGGGTTATGATTAGTTGATTTTGACGTTTTTTTCTTGGATTGGATCATTACTCTATGTTCTTAATGGTTCATATTGGTTGATTATAGTTTATCATCTCAGCTTAAGAATGGGAAATATCAGGAACTATGCTTCTTGATGTTTGAATCCGTTCACGTTTGACATTGATCTGGAAATGGTTTATCTGTGATTATTTACTATCAATGCTCGAGGACGGAGACACTGAATTACTAATATGAAACTTTTTATTAGGGGAATGGCTCGGGTTAGATTAAGCTTTAAATTTCTTTTTCTTGTTCTAGTTCCTTGGAAGATGTTTTGTACCAAAAATATTGCCTAGAGAGCTGTTTTTGTTTAGTATATGAATACTAATAACTTTATTGGTATCGGCCCAAATGCTAATATTTGTAGACCAACGTGTATCATCATCTAGATTGCTAGTTCCCCCTCCCTTCCTCACTTTTAATTGTATTAATGTATAAAGATGTGTCTTTTTTCTGACTTTTACAAGTTTTCTGCAATATTCTGCAGTCAAGTAAATGAAAATGTGGCTACAAAAGTGTATGTTGGAGGCATTCCATATTATTCAACCGAGGACGATATCTGTAGCTTTTTCGAAAGCTGTGGCACTATTACCGAAGTTGATTGTATGATGTTTCCAGAGAGTGGGAAGTTCAGAGGCATTGCAATATTAAGTTTCAAGGTATGGTAACCTGATCTGTCTTAAATTTCATTTCTCCTAGTAGGGAAAAGATCAAACAACTTTGAAGTTCATGATTTATGCTTTGCCAGATCTTAACCGAGTTTGAGTGAAGGAAAGTGGCCAATTGGCTTTTCGAAGTTGATTGAGATTAGAAAAGGATGATTTAAATGGCCTTATGATACTAAGATTTGAGATTAGAAAAGGATGATTTAAATGGCCTTATGATACTAAGATTTCTGAAGTTTAGCCATGGACTGCATCACGTATGGAAACATTCTTAAAGAATATTTACATGAATATACAATTACCATTATTGCTCTAAATAGTATATAATACATCATTTTGTTTGATTTTTGTGTAACAAGCATGTAAAGACCGTTCTAAGCTTTAGACTTATTGTAACAGCCCAAACCCAATGCTAACAGATATTGTCCTTTTTGGGTTTTTCCTTCGGGACTTCCTTTTAGGTTTTAAAATGCATCTACTAAGGAGAGGTTACCACACCCTTATAAGTAATGCTTTGTTCTCTTCTCCAACTAATGTGGGATCTCACAATCCACCTCCCTTGGGGGTCCAACGTCCTCACTGGCACACCACTTGGTGTTTGGCTATGATACCATTTCTAACAGCCTAAGCCCACCCCTTGTAGATATTGTCCATTTTGGTTCGTTACATATCACCATTAGCCAGACATGTTTTAAAACTTTGAGAGAAAGCCCAGAAGGGAAAGCCCAAAGAGGATAATATCTGTTAGCGGTGGGTTTGGGCTGTTACAAATGGTATCAGAGCCAGCACTGGACGGTGCGAGGCACTGGTCGGAGTAGGGCTAGTCCCTCTCCATAGTAGACGTGTTTTAAAACCGTGAGACTGGCGGCGATACGTAACGGGCAAAAGCGGACAATATCTACTAATAGTGGCTGCATTTGATATTTTGAGCTAGGATTAATCAAGATTGAATCTCTCTTGAAAAATATCATAAATATCATAGATTCATATATTATTGGAGTATTCTTCTTTGTAATAGAAAAGTTTGCTTGCACCAATTACCAGAGTTGTTTTGTGGGTGGTGAGGGGATTTCAGTTTTATTGAGTTTAAGATATCTTTTGGTTTTTGTGTTACCCTTACCACTGTTTGGCTATTGCAGACAGAAGCTGCAGCTAAACGAGCACTAGCCATGGATGGAGCTGACATGTGAGTATATAAACAATTTGATCTCATGCCGCCATTATTGTTACTTAATTCCACCATCTTATTACTTAGTATTTCTTTGTAGGGGCGGACTATTTCTTAAAGTACAGCCTTACAAGGGAACTCGATCGAATAAAGCAGTTGATTTTTCTCCTGGTATTGTGGAAGGTTACAACAGAATCTATCTCGGCAATCTATCATGGGATGTAACTGAGGATGATCTGAAGAAACTCTTTGCCAGCTGTAAAATTGCGTCGATACGTTTTGGCATGGACAAGGAAACAGGGGAGTTTCGTGGCTATGCTCATGTTGATTTCTCTGATAGCGTTTCATTAAAAACGGCTTTGAAGTTAGATCAGGAGACAATTCATGGCAGACCCGTCAAGATACGATGTGCAGTTCCGAAGCAAGGAACAGCAAGAGGAGGAGGAGCAGCAGCAGCACCACCACCACCACCGGCATTTACAACAGCAGCAGCAACACCACCACCACCACCACCTCCGGCACCAACACTGGCAGCGGCAGAAACACTTCCAAAACCTGTCCCTGAAATGGCAGTAGCTGATAGTGGATTGAGCACTGTAAGTGGTAAGATTAGAAGAAGAACATGCTATGAATGTGGTGAAAAAGGCCATCTTTCTTCCAACTGTCCAACAAAACAGGTTGCAGATTCAGTCGCAAGTTGAAATGAAAGGCTTCTCTTTGTTTCATGTAGGCAGCAAATTAGACTGTTGTGATTTTCCTATTACAGATACGTTAATATACTCTCTCTTATGACTGCAAATTGTCGTGGCTTCATCTCCCGGTATTTTCATCACTTAGAAAGTCATTTTAAACCGACATAGAGTGTACTTTACGAATTTCGACTTTCTTCTTGGTACATGAGTTAATGTTCATATCTATGTATGATATTTTGTAACGATATTTTATTCATTTTTAAATTAAATTATAATATCTATAAAGTAACAATATACAAAATTGGTTATTAAAAAATAATAGATAAATTTAAAAGTTGGTGGGTGCGGCGTTCCCTAATTTGAATATAGGTGGGGCGTAGTTTTGGAAGTTTAGGCGTTTTCCCCTTAGTTTCAGCTTCCAAGTTGCAAGTTTTGGGGGTTTTTCATTCAACCTTCCCTGATTTTTAGTGACATGTTCTTCACCAAACCAACCTCCTTTCATTTTCATTATTATTATTTTACATTTATATATGTTTTTCAATTATAAATTTAAGTATTATTCTTTATGACATAAAAGAATGGATAAAATAAATTTTTGTAATTAAAAGTTTATATAATACTAAATTTGTATTTTAAATCTTAAATATATATTTAGAAAGCATTTATGAGATAAGGGAAAATTATTAAAATAATTCATATTCATCAATAATTCCTTCCTTTGCTTATGTAAGTACAGTCTTGCGAATATTTATAACCCTAAACTAAAGCTTCACAAGCCATAATTATCTCCATAATTTTGGCCTTCTTATTCATCTTCCTTCCTTTCAGTCTGCTTCGTTTTCATGGCGGTCAATGCGGAAAGGAGAAGACAGACATTGGCGTCAAGTGAGGGGCGGAGCAGAGGAACGAGTCTCTGTCCTGAACAAGCCGAAACCAAATCCGTGACAGAGATGAAAACAGAGCATGAAGAAACCATACCTGTAATATACTACCTCACCCGCAATGGCCAGCTCGAGCATCCTCATTTGCTGGAGGTTCCTCTTTCTTCTTCCCGCGGACTCTTTCTCAGAGGTAAACTGAATCTTCTCTTTATTTCGTCGAACGATTTCTTTGTTTGTCAATTTTCATCTCAGTCTGATTTGCTTCTCAGATGTGATCAAAAGACTCGATATATTTCGAGGAGAATACTTTTCCAGAATGTATTCGTGGTCTTCGAAGCGGTAAGTACGGACGATTTTCTGCTTGTTTTGTGTGAAACGGTTGTTGAGAATACGATTTTCGTGTATTTTCCTTCTTGTTCTTCGTTTTTTTTTTTTTTTTTTCAATCGATTAAACACAAATTCGCTTCGTATATTACGATCAATCGAGCAATTACTTGCGATTTCAGGCGGTACAAAAGCGGATACGTATGGCAGGACCTATCAGACGACGATCTGATACATCCATCTCAAGGTCGAGAGTACATTCTCAAAGGATCAGAAGTGCACTTGCTAGAGGCGTCTTCGAGTTTCCGATCTTGCGAATCATCGTCGTCATTTTCGGAGTCGAAATTTTCATCAGAGACGAACAATTCGAGCACGGATTCGAATTTTGCCGTCGCGGTTAAGAGAAACAACCAGTCTTGGAATTCGCTGGAAGATCTTTGCAGAAACGTAGTGTACAAGGCGAAAATTTCCGGCGAAGGCGGCACGAACGCGGCGACGCAGACCGGCGAGAGACGGCGTAAATGCACGGACGGCGGAGAGGAAGTTTCTAACTCTGGAGTTGAAAGAACGGAGAGCATGAGGTCTGTGGATTGTGAAGGAGCGGCGGATTTGAGGGATCAGACGGCTGGGAAGAGCAATAGGTGGAAGACATCAACGGTTCTGATGCAGTTGATCAAGTGTAACTTTTAAAATTGCAATATATTTTCTTAAAATAAACAAAAATTTCCCTCATGTTTTTAATAATAATAAAAAAAAAAAAAACCACATAATATAATTATACTTTTTTTAAAAAAATCCCATACTCTATTATATTGAGCCTTTTGGGCCCAAGCCCATTTATCATCAAAGGCCCAAGCCCAACGAAGCATGAAAAAGGCCCAAGCATCATTCTGTTTTGTTTGGTCTTAAATTCACACTTTTAATTGGATAAGGCTCCTTCCTAAGAAAATCAATATTATTCAAAAGGGTAGGCTTAAAATTTAAACAATTGTACCTCTAAATAATTCCACCATTATAACTACTTTTATTCACTGTATATTTAAAGTTGAGAATCTAACTATTAATATCATTATTTTTTTATAATTTTAAAATTAAACTACTACGTTATTATTTTGACTTTTTGGCTGTGAATATATACTGAATAATGCTTATGTTATACTCATGTATTAACAATTAATTATAAGTAATTATTAAATACATCGAATAGATTTGATAGAAAAAAAAAATAATATTTAAATAAAAAACAAAATTACCAGGGAAGGAAATATTTATCATATAATAATACCAATATGGATAAAATCATTAATAAAATCAAAAAATTAAATAGAAGGAAAAATGTTTTTTTTTTCTTTCAAAATAAAGCAAAAACATGTTTAACTTTGGAGTTCTCAGGATCCAGCCACCAAAAAGAAAAATACACATTGTTAGTATATATAGTAACTTTCATAAACTATTATGTATCTTATTTATTCAAATATTACAATGTAGAATAAAATTTTACCGTATAAATTAGCAATTCGTCCGGTTAAAATATTCATTATTGACTAAAAAATAAAGTTCGAATCTTTATCCCAAGAGTTAAGTACAAGAATATGGATAGTGGGGTTTTGAGTTTGATAATGAACTTGCATCAGATCACGAAGTTTATAGTCCCAACCCACAAAAAAAATAAAAAATAAAAAAAAATGAGAAAGATAGAAAGGGAGAAAGAATTGAGAAGAAAGGAATGAAATTTTGATGAAGAAGACGCAGAATCAGCAAAGAAGGAAAGATTTGAAGTTGCCCATATCCGTCTCTCCAATTTTTTCTTATTTTTTTCACCTTTTCGTCGCCCACATTGTCCTTCCCCTCAACATGTAATTCGCCAATGCGTCACTTTTATGTTTTCCGCAACTTCTTTGCCTTCCTCTTATTTCATATTCCTTCCATTTATTATTGCATGCTCTGAAATCAAAACCAGAAGAACCAACGCATACCCATCACTACCAAACTTAATCTCTTAACCCCAAAAGCCTCAACCCTTCTTCCCTTCTTCCCTTCTTTTGCTACCCTTTTCTCTTCTTACTTCACAAACTTCGAATCTCACCGTTTTCTTCATGTGAATTTTCTACTGTTCTTCGATTTCTTTGCTGGGTTCTTCTGGGTGTTTCATATTTTCCCTCATCTCTGCTTATTTTTCGAGTTTCGAATGGGACCCATTAGAGGGTTCAAGAGGAAGAAGAAGAAGGTTGACCAAAATGTCTTGGTTCCTTCTTCACTAACCTCTCAGCCCCAGCCCTTGGATTGGTGGGATGAGTTCTCTCAGAGGATTACTGGTAACCCTCTTCTTTCCCACTTCTTAATTTTACTCTTTCTCTGTTTCTCCTTTATTCAATTTCTGCATTGCCCTTCCTCTTGCTTGATTGCTGTTTATTGGGTCTCTCGATTGAAATTCTGTGTGTCTGCTGTGGTTCTTGGACGGCTGTGGAATGCACTGTTTAGTAATCATATATCTTCGGTTGTGTTCATAAACTGTGATATTGTTCGTCATAATCTCTTAAATCTTCAACTCTTTCTTTGATATCTCATTAACGTTGAGAGGGTCACGAGGGGCTGGATGTTGTTATGATCCTATGAGCATTACTGGTTTTGGAATGGATCGAGTCTGTTCGGCAACTGTTCTTAACCTGGATATGTTAGTTCATTTGGTAATTGAGGTATTGTAGAAGTGGCTACTCATTTAGATTGGATTGTTATGCTATACCTATATTGAGATGCTTTACATAGAGATAATGACAATGCTACTTGAAGAATGGGTAATACTCCATCTTATTATATGAATTTTATCCCCCTAATATCCTCTTGGTTTCCTTTGCTAGTAGCAGCAATGATGTGTTTAACATAGATATGTACTATACCATTACTTGATCTTTGCCAACATCAACTGGAACTTCCTAACATGGCTCGCATTAAATGTCTTGAGTTCCCTATGATTCACAGCTCTTCTTTTCATCTTTATTGGTTCATGTTGGAGATATCACTCCACATATTGTACATTAAAGTTAGTGTGAGATCCTACATTGATTGGAGAGAGGAACAAGTGCTAGCGAGGACACTGGACCCCGAAGGGGGGTGGGTTGTGAGATCCCACATCAGTTGGAGAGGGGAACAAAACATTCTTTATAAGGGTGTAGATAGCTCTCCCCAGTAGACGCGTTTTAAAACCTTGAGGGAAAGCCTAGAAATTAAGCCCAAAGAGGACAATACCTACTAGCGGTGGGTGGGGCTATTATAGTTAGAATCTATCATCTCCAAGAAATGGAAGGATGACTCTGAAAGTTATAATGTACATAATGCAGAGAAGAAGGGCGAGGGACGAACGGAATTCAACCTCAAGTATGTGTTTTTATGGCCTGCTATGTAGTATAGAAAACGAGGGAAACAGAACAATAGTATAGATGAGATTCTGAGAGCCAATGTTCTTGGTTAGTACTCTTTGTTCTAGTTAAAGTAATCATGGCTGATGGCTGCCGTATTTGATTCATTACATGTTGTGTCCATAATGTAACCTGATTTAGCTGAAAATTTAGAATATGTTATCCTTGGGTGTCTCGTTTGAGCCATCTTGGAAATGTAGACGTTTAAGCTCTGGTTCGATTCAATTTAGTAAAGATGCAATGCGCTAAATATCATAGAAAACCATACTCTCAGATCTCTTCGACATGTTCACGTTTATTTCAACGTACTGATATGGCCAAATGCTCAAGATTTTTATGATTTGTATTTTTTGCCAACACTTTCCAGGAGATTAGAATGACAAGAAAACTGGAAGTTTAGGGCAACCCATATTTTTAGTATGTTTCTTTGATTGAATCAACAAATGACACAGAAATTGTTTCTGTTCTTGACATTCAAAAGCTTTATTAGAACAGCAGTGCATGAAGCTTTTCTTTAGTGAAAGAACAAAAAACGGATCGTTCTCGAACGATCCCCTTGGAACTATTATTCTCAATACAGATTTGATTTTCTTTTAGCAGTAAGTTCCTAAGGTTTATCATGATATATACTCTATAGTTCATGTCTAATGTTCTTCATTTTTTCTTTTTGCCCATTGCATTTCATCAAGTTTTCTTTTCAAATTAGACATGTGCTTCTTCCATGTCACAATTTCTTTCCATTGTAATAGTAGCATGTTTCAGGCACCTATTTTAGCAAAGATTATTAGCCCACCTATTCGAAAACAAAGATTTTTAGTATACATCAACTTTTGTATTTTCATGAAGAACCTCCTAATGGCTCAAACTTTAATCTCGAAGTCCCCGAAATATTGAGAAGTTGGCCATTGAAAGAGTAACCAAAGTATGAATGTCTCTCCCACGTTGGTTGGAGAGGGGGACAAAACATTCCTTAAAAGGGTGTGGAAACATCTCCCTAGTAAACAAGTTTTAAAATTGTGAGGCTGACAACGATATATAACGGGTCAAAGTGGACAATATCTACTAACGGCGGGCTTGAGCTGTTACAAATGGCATCTGAGTCAGACACCAAGCAGTGTGCCCGCAAGGACGCTGGGCTCTAGTCGGGGTGGATTATGAGATCCCACATTGGTTGAAGAGGGGAACGAAATATTCCTTATAAGGGTATGGAATCCTCTCCCTAGTAAACGCGTTTTAAAACCATGAGGCGAACAACAATACGTAATGGGCCAAAACGGACAATATGTACTAGCGGTAGGCTTGGGCTGTTACAATGAAGATTTAATTTATCTTGATTTGAAGTTATAAAAGAACCTAAAAACATGATCATGTAGTTAAGTATTATCCTGCTATATCTGGAGTTCAGTTTTATCGATTACCATTTCATCTATTTTCCTATTTCATGGTTCTGAGATGTTGGTTACAGATTAAGATGTTAATTAGTGTCACAAATGATGTCAGTTGGGACATCTTGGTCTGATGTTAATTTGTGTTACTAATGATGTCAGTCGATCTAGCTTTACTATGAATTATGTCTGTCGTACCCGAGAAAACAGTTTTTGTTGGGATCAGAAGATTTGCAGCAGGAACTGAATATGTTTTTTGTCCATGTTTTTTGCCTCCAATCAGGACCATTATCTGAATCAAAGAACACAAATTTTGAGTCAGTTTTCAAAATTTCAAGAAAGACATTCAGCTATATCAGTTCTCTTGTGAAAGAAGCAATGATGGCCAAAACTTCAAATTTTACTGACTTAAACGGGAAGCCTTTGTCTATAAATGACCAAGTCGCGGTTGCTCTAAGACGGCTTAGCTCTGGAGAATCGTTATCGAATATCGGCGATTCATTTGGAATGAATCAATCATCAGTTTCCCAAATAACTTGGCGTTTCGTGGAGGCGATGGAAGAGAAAGGACTCCATCATCTTTCGTGGCCTTCAACCGAAGAAGGTATGGATCAGATAAAGTCCAAGTTTAAGAAAATCAAAGGGCTTCCTAATTGTTGCGGTGTAATCGAAACGACGCACATTATGATGACTTTGCCAACGACAGAATCTGCACACGGTGTGTGGCTGGATCGTGAGAAAAACTGTAGCATGCTGTTGCAAGTGATTGTAGATCCAGAAATGAGATTCTGTGATATCATCACAGGTTGGCCAGGAAGTTTGAGCGACGCTCTTGTGCTCCAAAGCTCAGGATTTTTCAGACTTTCCCAAGATGGGGAACGGTTAAACGGGAAGAAGATGAAGCTGTCAGAAAGCTCAGAAGTAGGAGAATACATTATAGGAGACTCTGGCTTCCCCCTGTTGCCATGGCTACTAACTCCGTATCAAGGGAAAGGGCTTTCGGATTATCAAACCGAGTTCAATAAGCGACATTTCGCCACGAGATTGGTGGCTCAAAGGGCATTGACAAGGTTGAAAGAGATGTGGAAGATCATTAAAGGGGTAATGTGGAAGCCTGACAAGCATAGGCTACCAAGGATTGTTCTTGTTTGCTGCTTACTTCACAATATTGTGATCGATATGGAGGACGAGGTGCAAGACGAAATGCCGTTGTCCCATCATCACGATCCGAGTTACCGACAGCAAAGTTGTGAATTCGTCGACAATACCGCTTCCATGGCAAGGGAGAAGCTCTCCATGTACTTATTGGGAAAGTTACCACCCTAAGAAAACATCGTCGTGCACCAGAACATTCTTTTTCCTTTTCATAGATTGATCTGTGGTGGTGTTAATTGATATTCAGTGGTTTAGATGTTATGGATGACATAAATTTGATTCATATCTATATAGCCTCCGGTGAGATTATGGTTTGCTGAACAGATATCATTCCCAGTTTCCTTTTCTACAAACATCATGCTCTTTGGGACCCTTTTTTTTTTTAAATGATACCGAACTGTTTACAACTTACAACTGTTCTTAATTGGATTTACAGTTTATATCCACTTTTCTTTTTTCTTTTTTTTTATATCTGTTGGTACTGTTTTAACGTTATTACTCTATTTAAAATATACTCATGAAATTTTAAAATAACATTAACATCTTTTATCTTTATTAAAAAAAAAATTACTGTCAATATATAGACGAAAATTGTCTATTTACACCTCATACATTATCTTAAAAAAATTAATATTACTCTTAAAGTTAATAAATATTTTTTAAACGTGTGCGCGTAAATGTATTTTTTTAAGGGTATTTTTGAATTTTTTTATTTTTTTTTTTAAAAGTAAAAAGAAAATGTTATTGAAAATTTTCACAGTTGTCTAAGGTATATATCTTAAAGTTAATAAATAAAATTAAACGGAATGAACTTGAGGACGTAAAAGTAATTTCACATCGTGTTGTAATATATATAGTTTTTTTTTGTAAATTTCCAAGAAAATTGGGATGCAGGCAGCAAGACCTTGTTGTGATGGTTGAAGTTTGAAGATTAAACTTTTGCGAATAATGTGAACGGAAATGGAAATGTAGCATTTGACGGAAGGCGATAATTTCCAGTCCGCCGCGCAGTCGTCGTTGCCCAGTTAACCGCTCTTCTTTTTCCATCTTTTACTTTGATAATCATGCCTCTCTCATTGTAAACCTTAATTGAATGCTTGAATCGTGCTAGAAATTTCGCATTCAGTTTCGTAATGGTTGGAATTTCAGGGGAGGGGAGGGGGTTGGTATAACTAATCACATTCTACGATTTGGTTATAGGCCTAAAATACCGCCAAATTTCCAATTCCCATTGGAAGTTGGCGCCCTACATGATCTGTATTTTCTTTATGTTGAATTTCCGAAATGATTTTTTCTATTGGATTTGTATCATCAAGCTCTTATCTGGTTCATCTTATGTTTTTCCCTCGTTAAATCCCTAATTATGTTAATGAGAATTATGATCGCTTCATTCTAGGTTGGGGTATCAATAGAACAGCAGGAAAGTGTACAGAAACGACCTCAATAGTTAGTTCCATTTACATTGAGCAACAATTTTCATAGTGGAACAAGTTGGTTTGGGGAGGGACAAGTTTTGTTGTTATAAATCTGAACAGAAACATGAGAATTTGGAATGTTGTAAGAAAATGCATTGTATTTACAGTAAACTCAACGCATGAAACTCGTTGTATGATCAAACATGGCTAGTAAGAACATTTGACAATCTTCTTTTTGTTGAATATTTCAAACAGCGGAGAAAAAGAAGAATAAGAAGAACCATGGTTTTGTCTGAGGGTGGGGCTTGCGTGTGTATAGGTAAAAAGTATAGCAAGTTGTTGGGATAATGATGTTAGAGCTTTTCTTGTTTGACTTTGCAGTTCAAGGATGGCGTTCTTCAATTCCACCTCAACTTTTTGTATTCTGCTAACTACTGTGGACGAACATTACAGGTGAGGAAGGTTAGCGGTTAGAATTAGTTTTGATTTTGAAAATTGAATACAAATTTGGAAATGGTTATGTTATGCCTTGTGATAGAACTCTATATTTGGCCCCTAAGACCATGAACTTGCGTTAGTCCAAAAGTAAGACTAGACTGGACCTCTTGCATTTATACTTGAAAGCTCTGTTCATTAAAGCTACTTTTGGCTTTTGGGGATCCAAAGTGGCAAAGACAAACGTGTTTTTGGCTACACTCACTACCTTGCTTTAATTTTGGAGCTCAAATTTTCATCTCCACATTTGTTGAACGCTACAAACGAAAAAAACAAAAATATGTCAGTTTCAAGTTCTTGATTTCTTTTTTCGTTAGTTCAACAAGTGGGGTGGGGAGAGATAGTGAGACGTCGAGTCGAGGTGAAATGGTGAACTCGCCTAGATGATGCTTGCACATGGTTGTCTGACGCTCGCTAGTCGGTGTTTGCTTTTCACTAAGATGAGACGCCGTATAGAACCTATGACCTTTTAATCGAGAGCATATATTATTAGAAAAGCTATATTTAGACTAAATCATTAAAGACAAATTGAAAAAATGGTGGCAAGGACTTTACTATTTGTTCCATGTATGTGGGCATGTTTTGGTTGTTACTACAGTTGCTGTCCATGTACAGGGGTATATGGCTCCTGGCGTCAAAACGTCTCCTTTGTAATGGGAACTTGACGACGAGTTTAAAACTGCCATTCTATTGGTCTCTTTTTTTTTTTTAGCTTGAGTAGAAAATTCCTGAAAGGTGGCTAAATTGTTTAACACCATTGACTTTTGGCTTATATTTGTGTGAACTAGTAGTTTAAAGAAGCAGCCTTGTTTTTGTTTTTTCTTACTGTTTTCCATGTGTGCTGCTAAACAACTAACCCACCCGGTAATTAACACTCCAGAATTTACATTTCAGAGGGCAAGATTTTCAAACATCAAGATTCTTATCGGCATCAGTTTTATGCTGAAGAACTCGAGACACCGTGCGAAATAGGTAACCGTACATAATTATGCTCTTTCTGTTTGATGTTCAAACCTTGAGACTGCCTGCTTGGATTATAAATGGTAGCTGACCTTAGTTTTTAGGACACTGCTTGTTGTCATTGACCACAGAAGGAGATTCGGCTAAGATTTCCTAGCTGTCATTAAGACGTTCTAGCAATTAAGGTTTCAACGATAAGATCAAAAAGATTGCTTGAGCTTTATTCGAAATCTAGTGTGCAAATGGCTCCGTACTTGCTTAAGTCAATGCATATCTCTCAACAAGTCACCAATAAGGTGAGAATAATATGAAGTGGACTAATCTTAATTTGATTTGTTTATGAGCATTTAGTCTTGACTTTTCTAGAGCCCCTTCCTTGACTTCACATCAAATGCAAGCTACACGACGATACCTGACCGAGTACCGGGTGTAGAGGTATACTTTAAAATATAGCTTTGTATGAATCAACTGCCGAATTTATTAATCTTTGGACTTTTTTTTTATTATTATTATTGGAGGATATTCCTTTTAATGCTTAGAACGATTGAGCTCTAGCCATTGAGACAAATGTCTATGACTAAAAGATCAAAAGTTAAAATCTCTTCACTCACATGTTGTTGAACTAAAAGAACTGTTTTATAGAACGGTGATGGAGGCAGTTTGTATGGCTCTTCGAACCAAGCTAGATAGTTTCCTATCACTAGGCTCACTGACATCTTCAAGAGTTTTAGTTGAACAGGTGCACTCACTGAAGGAAGCTTTCCGACACGAGTTCCACTGGTTCAGATTAGGAAAGAGCAGGTAGAGAAGAGAACACTTAACTTTGACCTCACCCGATAGATATGCAATAAATGAATAAATAACTGAGTTTACTTTTTGTGTTAGCTTTTCATTTTTATACTCAATGTCACCACTTGTTTGAAATTCCCTGCATTTGGTACTCTCTTCCTTCCTCCATCATCCAATGAATATGTTTCTTTACATTGGAACCCTCTCTTCACTTATATCCATTCAGTATTTATGATTTAAAGTGTTATTCAAGGGTTCTAGGAGTTTTTAATGCCTTTTTTCTAACCCGAGCATAGCTTTAATGGGTTAAGACGTTACAACTTTGACCAAAAAATCGAGCATAGCTTTAATGTGATCGGTAGAACTAAAAAAAAATGTTCTTTCGTGCCTCGTACATGGATTTATTTCAAGAGAGTAATAAAATGAAAAATAAAAAATAAAAAAATAAAAACTCGATTATTTGGTGTTTTAATATTGAAAGAATTGGAAGTATAATTTTAATATAGTAATTTTTTTTAAGTCTAATTTCTAATTAATGAGGTGATGTATTAGCAATATTTTTCTAAAATTATTTCATCCACTTACTCTATTAATATTAATTATTTATTAATCTATTAATATTAATTATTTATTAATTATAGCGAAAATGGAGGCTGTGAATCTCCCTCATATTTCTTTTGCGTATTTTATAATCTTCTTAAATTTATTTAATATATTGCTTTCAATTTCAACACTTTTTCCACTTTACCTACGAAAAAGAAATAATAATAATAATAATAATAATGCTTTTCCATACGAAAAATATTCTTTTTTTAATTTATAAAATTAGTTTATTAATAAATTAGGTTTTTAGTTTTCAATTTTTGGGTTAATTTTTTTTAATATAGTGTTTATAAACTTAATTTTTTTTAAAAAAAATAATAATAAATGGTTATGAATTGAGCTTAAAAATCAATATATAAAATAAATGTTTCCATAATTTATTTATATATATTATTTCGGGTCTAAATGCAACGCTCATTCTAATTTCATTTTTAGTATTTAAATTTTTGAGCACTAAATAAATGAAGAGTTTAAGTTCGTGTTTCTATCACTAGTATCTTAACCTATTAATAAAAAGTCCGAACTTTTAGATCTCATGGATAACAATTGATTGCGGCTTGCAACGAAAATCAATTTCATGACTTATATAAACCCGTTTATTTAAATGTATTAAATGTAATGATAGAAACCATAATAAAATTTTATATATAATTTATAAGCTAAAATAAAATAGATACAAAAGTCGAGTAAGACGTCAAGATTTGAACTAAAAAATCACAACTATTTATCAAACTCAACCTTTCCAAAACCAAATCCAACGTTGAGATAGAAAAATGAGATATTGGAAATCAACTTGCAATTGATCGAGTCATCTTGACCATAACCATCGAAATTAAGCTTAGAAATCAAAATGAATCAATGAGTATGAACTAGCGTCGGTCGAACCCAACCCAACCATACTCAAAAATTAATTTCTTTCTTTCTAAGATATATACACATATAATGTTTGTGGTTTTGTTGACATATTAATGAATAAGTTGGGCTCACAAGAAAATGAATAATAAATTTGAGATAAGTTTATGGGACTCTTTTTTTTTTTTTTTTTGTTTAAATATATATATATATATTTTTTCAAAAAAAAAAAGAAAAAGAAAAGTAAGTATTATAGATAAAACTTTATATTTATTTGTGTACAATTAATACATATATAAATTTATTTTTTATAATAAAACATAGTAAAAATTTCTAATTTTTTAATTGAAATATGTGTTTAACTAATTGAATTATATTGAAGTGGATAGAAATATAATATTTTTATTTAGTTATATTCTTTGAATTAGTTTATTGGTTAAACTTGTTATAATTTAGTATTTATAGTATAATTAATTTTTATAGTTTAATAAAACCCTAAAAAATAGAGGATTTCAAACTATATAGACTAATAATGAGGTATTCTTTAAAATTATAGGACCAAATTATAATTTAAGAGTATTCATTTCATAGTTTATTTTATTTTCTTTACCAAATTTATAACTCTTGGAATTTTTTATTTTTTATTTTGAATGGGTATTGTTTTATCTCAACAACTGGATTGTTTTTTTAAAAACTAAATTAATTAAAAAATAAATTTAAATAAATGAATTAAAATGGGAAAAGAAAAGGAAAAAAAAAAAAAAAAGGAAAATTAGGGTTAGTGGGAAAAGGGTTTGTTTTTGTTGGCGTAGTGGGTGTGTTGGATTCTGGTGCTACCATATGCAATTTACCAAATAATTTGACAACATTTATATATGCAACTACCCATTCATATTCCTCATCTTTGAATATATTTCTATTAATATTATCATATACTTTATAACTTTGAAATATTGGCTCACTTTTAAGAATAAAATTACATTTTTTAGACGTATCTCTCTTATTTTTAGAAATTTAGCCAAAGGTTTGCAAAAGTACATTATTTATTCATTTTATAAAAAAAAAATTAATTAATATGCAAGTCTTAATTAAAGAGTCTCTTCTGGTAAAGTTAAGACTCTTTAGTTATTATCCACCAAGCGTTATAAATTGAGTCGAGTGGCTATTATTATAAAACGATGAGTTTGAAAAACAAATTTTGAAATTGAAACAAAAGATCAGAAACAATTTTACAGATTTTTTTTTTTTTTTTTTTTCCGTCTGTTTCGTTAAATTTAGAGTTCCACGCGCTTCATTGTTATTGTAGAAATGACACCAAAATAGCCCCAAGATTTTGTTTTTTAATCTTTAAAATTTGGCTAAGAATCCTAAGATGTAGAATATATATAAAGAAATATTGTTAGTAGACGGAAATTTCTCAGAAGCATAATCCTAATTAAATGGACCTTAATTATTAGAAATGTAAAGCTTGGGAAATTTACGTATACGTGAAATGTAATTGAAGAACAACGATGAATTATTCCTTGAAATTAATACCGACTTAAAAAGTATTTTTGTGTTATAATGATAGCAGATCGAAATAAACCGCACAACGAATTAAAATTACTTTCAAGAGATCGTATGATGATCGCAAACCAAATTGATTAAAAGCAATTTTTCACATGAATTATCGGCACGGAGATTGATTTGAACTATATGAAGATCTGGATTTATATATATATATATATATGTATCGTTGTAAAGGAACAAAGAGATCTAGAATACAGTATCAAAAAAGAAAAGGAAAGGAATAAAAAGAAAATCGAAAAGACAAAAACTCATCCTGTTCGATCTGCTTAAATATGTACTTTAAATTCAGAGAAACAATCAAGCATGGATATACTCTTTCCAAGCTGCAGAAACTTACTATCGTTCTCAGAGGGAGTCAAGTTGAGATCCAAGCACAAAATCCTCCCACCGCCGTTCGTCTTCTTGACCAGAGGCGGTTGAGAACGCGGCGGAGGAGATAAACTACTCGGATGATGATTATTCGTAAGGCGACCGTGATCAGTCAACAACGTGGTGGCTCTATGTCTCCTCATATGTCCTCCTAGGGCTTGGCCAATCGCAAACTCCAATCCACAGATACTACACTCGTGCGTCTTCGGCTTGGTTGGAGAACCTTGCGAGGAAGTTCCATCTGAGTTTCCACCGTCAATCCGCGGCTTCTTATGACTGGCACGGTGGCCACCAAGCGCCTGAAACGACGGAAACTGCCGATTGCAAGTCTTGCACTCGAAAACACGATTCGGAGATAAAGAAGGAGAAGAAGAAGATTCGAAATCTGCGGTAGTGGTAGCGCTGCTGCGAGAAAGTAACATCAAGCAGTTCGCCATGGTTGTTACGCTCTCCAGGTCTCTCTCTCTTTTCATCATGATGAAAGGCAAATTAAATGATTTTCTCTCTCTCTCTCTCTCTCTCTCTCTCTCTCTCTCTCTCGGCTGGTGTGTGTGTGAAGAGATAGATGGAAACGGAAATGGCGTTTTGTTTCGATTGAGTGAAGGAATAGACCTCTGAACTGGATTGGTTGTGTTTATATATATGCGTGAGAGGAGAGAGAGAAAGACGGTCAGTTGACATTTTGTAATGACAGTTGGGCCCCCGGTATCTTGTGCCAGAAGGAAGAGGGAGTACTGGAGAAATTGGGGAATTCAAACTATTGGAAGAACAAATAACTAGTGAGGGTAATTTTGTCATTTGGATTAAACGACATAAAATAAACGCGTCAGCATGAGAACATTACCGCGTGCTTCAGTAAAGATTTTAACCATTTTTTTTTTAAATATTTAGGAACTTATTTTTGTCACATTAAAAAGATAAAAAAATAAAATTAATTATTGGAGTTCTCCAAAAGGTCCTTTTCTTTTGCAAATTGAGTCCTTAATCTATAGGGATGCCCTATAGAAGTTTTAGGGGTAGGGTGTGTGACCAAAAACAATGAACTACAAGACATTTATTTTTAATTACGGAAAAAAAACGCTCCTATTACTTCATTTAATAATTATGTCAATTTAAAAATAAAAAATTTATGATAGTTCATATTCAAGAACACTCTACAATTTTCGTTTTTCATCAAAAATCTTATTCAAAACGGTAGAAATAATAAATAACAAACCATTAAAAATCATTTTAATTTCTAAATTTTATTATTTTTATTGTTTTATGTTATTATAATAGTCACATCTGTTACATGAACACGACTCTCCACAATGGTATGATATTGTTCACTTTGAGCATAAGTTCTCGCTCTCATTAATTTGCTTTGAGCTTTCCCAAAAGGCATCAAAGCAAAGTCATGAGAGCTTATGCTCAAAGTAGACAATATCATACCATTGTAGAGAGTCATGTTCGTCTAACATGGTATTAGAGTCATACCCTAAACTTAACCAAAAGTGACTAGAGAAGACTCCAAAGGAGTTGAGCCTCGATTAAGGGGAGACATACTTTGTTCGAGGGGAGGTGTTGGATGAAAGTGTCCCACATCGGTTAATTTAGGGAATGGTCGTGGGTTTATAATCAAATAATACACTCTCCATTGGTTTGAGGTCTTTTAGGGAAGCCCAAAGCAACAGAGAGTGTATTATTTGATTATAAACCTATGATCATTCCCTAAATTAACCGATGTGGGACACTTTCATCCAACAACATCCAATATAATATAACAGTAATTAACATATGCTTATTCTCTTGAAACTAATAATCGACA